TTACTGCTCATGCATGTTTCTCTTTTCACACACCCTGCTAAATTATCCAGGAAACACAATGAAAGAGCAAAGTATCAGTGTTTATAACTCACTATATCTATAATTTGAACTGTCATTAACTGTACTCCTAATAGTGGATGTATTAGCAGCTTTATGAATACATTCTGCTAAAATCTCCAGAAAACACAATATAAGCAAAATCTCAGTGCTTATAACCCATAATGGCCACGGGTTGAACTGTTATTAACGGTATTCTTAATAATGGACGTATTAGCAGCTTTATAAAATTACTAATGTTTTTCTGAGAGATAAAACGGACGATGGTCTAACATAATGAATATGTTGACCACTGTTCACTGGAAGCAAAGCTCTTAATTTGGCTTGAAAATAATACGAAATATATCTATTCCATAGCAATTTTTAATTGCAAAGTAAAACCGTTTGCAGTTGGAAGAGACTGTTACCATTCGCGTGATTTAACGACTTTTGTTATTTTAATTTTTGTTTATTTGTATGGTGTTAATCACAAAGCTACATAACGGGCTATCTGTGTTCTGCCAACCGTCAGCTGTCAGACGTAATGCTGAGTCATCTTGATTTTGAATGTCTAGTTTCTTACGTAGGGAAAGGGATGAGCTAAATTAGGATCTGTGTGAAAGTAAGTCCAATAGGTTGAACGTAAATATATAGTGAAAAGAAAAATCATATTCAGCCAAAATAGAACTATGCAGTCAAAGCAACACCCAATTATTCTAACAAAATAATGAAGGAGGTCTATATAGCTAACCTACAATATAAAAAACAAACCACAACGAGTATTATTGGATTTTACTATTACACATGTTATTCTAGTAATTAAATATACCAGAAGAACGAAAGTTTTTTTTAAATCAGTAAAAAAATCCTCTGATCGTTAGTCGTTTCGTATTGTAATACTAACACTAGCAAGTAACCGTCAATATAGATGTAAACAGGAAGCTTTAAGTTAGATAGCATTCGTGTACTTGGCTCATTTAGTTTTAATGAAAGTCTGGAAGTGCATTTCGTTAATCTACTTTCTAAAAGTGGGTTTCGATACTCGTAGTGAGCATATGTCATCTTGTGGCTTTGTGCTTAACAACACAGCTCATCGTGTAGCTCTGTGCTTAACAACAAAATAACAAAAATTATTACTCTATCTCTCAATTAAATCCAGAAATATTGATGTTTTAATTTAAATAAAAGTTTAGTGTTGATTACAAATGAAATAAAATAATTTCTATGTTCTAACAGACTCTAGCAAAAAGTTCATTTGTGGTCTTAATTAAAATCTGGTATAATAGCGCATATAAGTAGGGTAGCGTTTTAAACAAGAATATAGCATCTACGTTGGCTGGTTAGAAATATGAACTCATAAAACTAACGTGCAATGACATCAACCATGTATGAAATAAATAAATGAAAAAACAAGCAAAGACGTTTCCTAGCAGTTAACGTGTCGATTCTGGATTGAAGACGTTAGGATTCGAGACTTGATACCATTGAAAACGCCCCATACTTTCAGCTTTAGGCTTGTTAATAAAGCGATAGTCAACCCTGTTATTCGGTTAATAGCTACTAAAACCCTCGAGGTGGTGGGTGATGCTTGCTGGCTGTCTTATCTCTGGTCAGTAGTTCAAATTAGGAACGGCTAAATCTGAACCCTAGTGATTTCTGAACAGGCCATTTTAGCACATAAAACCGTTTAGTTTGAAACTTCCAATTCCATTTGTTTTCTAGCGATGCTACTAAACTGTATTACAGTTGTGATAAAATCCTCTTATATTCTATCTTTCTGGTGTATTCTACAATTACGTTAGAATGTGTTGATCAGTTCCACTATTCGTTGGTAATGAGTAGTCCTAGAGTTGGCGGTGGTTGATATTGACTAACTGCCTTCCCTCTTTTCAGTCACTTCTAAATTAGGAACGACAAGCGTAGATAGCTCTCAAGTAGTTTTGTGCGAAATTCAAGGAACCAAACTACAATTACTACATTCACTATAATAATTCATTGATTTTCCATGTAAGCTATAACGTCTTTAACGTTCGCTTCGTTCTATTTCCTGCGAATGAGGGCTGAAAAAGATTTCCTCATGCTCCTGTATGCTTTATATATTTTTCCAATCGACGTTTCGATGAATTTTCCTCTTAGCCCCCACTACTGAAAGAGCTCGTTAAACAACAGAACATAAGATGCCCTGAATTAATTCAATAAAGTAAATATTGAATGATACTTCATAAACTATGAAAAATGCAGTGTATATTTTAATTATCTAAACATCCTGAGAACAATGATTAAGATCAAGTCAAGAAAATGTGAATTTATAGTTAAGTAATCGTTAATTTTTACTTCGAGTTTTTATTTCTAAATTTTACAAATTCAAAAGCACTTTCCGTATCTATTATCAAGGAAAATTACATTCTCAACCTCCCAGATGCTGAAATATTCAACTAACGGTTTTGTAGCATACCAATTTAAGCTCTAACGTGTATTTGAAAACTTTCTATTTTGGTTCACGTGTTGTTAATCTATATCAACCTGAATGTCCTTAAAATGAAATCTTCATATTAGTATTAAAGTATTAAAATGTGATTTCACTCATTTATGCTTCTTGTAACTTTGAATTATGCTTTACTAGCGAACGTAACAATGCCTCACTCGGCATTTATGTCATTCGATACACGGGGAAGGCGGGACGACGTATATGTCCATCATTTCTCATGCAGGTCTTCTGCATTTCGGCGACCAGAAAATAATACCACTGGTATTAAACATCACTTTCGTTTGGTGTATGTATCACACAGTAAACAGCTGTCAAACTCGAACCACTCGATCGATTGTTTATCAGTTTAACCTTAAGCTTTTCGGGAGTGCACCTGAGTTCTTCTGCTAAATACCATGGAAACTGGTTTAGCTAATTTCTCGCAACAACTTGTGGCGTCAAGACATCAAAAGAATGAACCGCTTTGCTTTATATAGATTAATTCTGTTAATATACCAATAAGATTTGAACACAACTACTCTGATGTTTAGTGAATAAGCAACAAAAAGCTGTACGGGCAACATACTCAATCCTAGTGTAGTTGAATAGTAAGAGAATTCAACAAATATAATCCACAATCTTTTATCCCCCTTGCTTTGTGTTGGTTTTGTTATATACTTAAACGTACACCATATACACCAATTAATTAAAAATGTGATTTGGTTTAAAATATTATTTCTTTTTATTGTTTTGCCACAGGTACTTATTCACTCAAGTCCATTTTCTTTAAAACAAAATTTATAGAAAGAGCTACGTTCATTTAGTTTACTAAAAACAACAACATTTTTTATTCATAATATAAAAAATAGATTTCGATGTGGTATCACAAACTTAAATTATCCTCATTGACAGCTTTGTGTTATCTGGCGAAACATGGGACGAAAACCATGCTTAAATCATCTATACTTGTTCAAGTCACATGAATGGTGTTCTCTGGCACAATTATACTACTTGGTTATTCTTTAGGGTATAGGTTTTATTGTAGTCAACAGTAAAATGATTGAATTCAGCACTGAGTGGACCGATCATAACCTGGTGATTAGCGTTTCCTGATTGTGAGTCAAAGAATTCATGTTTAGCGTCTCGTTGCTGTAAAACCTTGTTCTATATTTCAAGGCCGTAGATGTGCAATAACTGTGACAGTGAAACACTCGGCCAGAGAAGAGTATTCAACAGTTGATGGTGAGCGCTGTTGACCAGCTGTCTTCATTCTTGTCTATCAGTTCAAAATTAGAGACGGCCATGTTCAAATAACCATTCATTAATACTTTACTAACATTAAAAAAATCAAAGTAAATATTATAAAACTACAAGAAATAATAATTATCAACGAGGTTATATATTTTGATAAATATTTGGCTAAGGCGTGAAACTTTCAAAAATCTAGAAAATCCTTCCTGCTTTTATGAAAAATTTTCCAAAGCACAAAACCGGAAGTTTATGTGCATCCGCTAGTTGTAGGCAACAGAACTGAGAACATTGTATTATTAAGTGAAGGAAACGTCCCCGAAAGTATGCGCAGAACGTAACACATGTAGTCGTAGTGCTTTTCCGGTTACAGTGAGTATCATGTACACAAGGTAGATTTCAAATAACACTGTATATTTTAAACATTTCCCGTGGTCTTGGACGGTTTGTATTTAGTTATTGTAAAACTTGGTTTAGAAATGTTCGATCTAATTTTGTCCAATAGGCGCGTACAACCAGGGAATAAAGAGAATATTTCAGTGCATTCAAGATGAATGGGATATTCTTGGATTTCAGTTAAGTATAGTTCTTTCTACACACATTTTACTGAAATTCATCACAACCCTCCAAAGATATTCTTGTAGTAAATTCGTACTGAAGTGAAATTAACGAACTCTCATATTCAAATACATCATTCTTGCTTTATTAAATTTATATATTGTTGTGTTTTGGTACGGATAAAGCATTACGCCAGCTCTTGTAAATAACGTAGTTCATATTGTTTCCGGCAGGGAAAAGACTCTCGCACCTGGTGAAGCTACGCTCGTAAAAAAAGCTAACTTCCCACCAGTATAATACTTTCAGTCCTTGATGTCACGTGCAAATATCAGAGTAGCAAGGCTCAAGCAAGCGATAACTATCTGTCGATGCTGATACTGTAAACTGGTTAAAACCTGATTTAAAACGTGGAAAAGCTTCCACTTCTAGCTTTTGGTAAGTTTTCAAACACACTTATTAGGAATTAAGTATGCATGACATGCACACAAGCCATTCTCACCGCTTCAATAAAACCAATTATTATAAGTATTCCTAGTCAAGCGTGATTTCGTAATAAGAAAATTTAAATTAAATATATTACACTTTGTAATTTTACATTACACCTCTCATTCATCTGAAATTACAACTTGCTTTTTTGATGACGACATAGTATTAAATCTATTATGTTTGTATAAGAGCTAGATTAGAAATTATTTTTCACTGTCATGTAAGGCAAAGCGAGAATTACTTATCATGATGTTTTAACTTTCATAGTAATCGAAGTAGCTAAGCTATTCGTTTATTTTATTTTCTATTTTCAGCTGTAAGTGTTAGGGCTTGTAAGGCTCAAAATACGGGTTCGATACCAGAGGTGAATGCAGCGCAGATAGCCGCTTTTGTAGCTTTGCGCATAATAATATAGAAGATAAAATAATGATATATTAGAATTTTTTAATTGATTGTACTTAAGTTATTTTATAAATTATTTACAGTTGTAAGTAAAGTAAAATGTACATCTAATTTTAAAATCGTGGTGTTTCTACATTGATTTACTCTATTTACAGAAACGTGGAGACAAGTTTCAGTCACCGAGAATCTGAACATTGACCGATGGATAAAATAACGCGACTGTTATTTTTGAGTACTTTCTTCTTTGCTGTGGGTAAGAAATGCCATTTCTGATAATTTTTTACTCTCTGTTTTGTACAGTAAAAAATAAAAGTGTATGTGTTTATATCAAAGACACATCAGGCTATCTGCTGTGTTCACCGATGGGAATCGAACCCCCAGATTTTGGCGGTGTAAATCCGTAGAGTTACCGCTCTACCACCGAGGGACTTTAAACAAATTTTATATCTTTGTAATGTACATTATTTTATGATATATATATGTTACAAGCTGAGGTACCCGTTCTTTGTCCGGAGATTATGAACTTTAAAAAATGTGGGGGGTAAATATTATGATAAATAACATAAAAATCCTGACTTTCACACAATGTATTTATAACATAACATATTATTATAGTATTCACTATTACCTCACCCAAAGTTTTATATAAGCTTTAAGAACTTAATACGTATATAATTAAAACATGGTATATATACTGTGCGATGGTCAGGGTGACTTTGTAGGAAAAGGTAGCGACAAAAATGGTGGCGGTAGGGGTGCTTTCTGTTACCCGTTTTTAACACTCAGCCCTTAATATCCTTCCACAGTATTTTACATGATTAATTAATTGACGGTTATTAGCCGCAGAAGTGTTTTACGGGCCGAAGTTGAAAGGTCATGGGTCAAAATAGGAAGTGGGTATAACTCAAAAAACGGCTCTTCATATTAAGCCTTATGGTGGCTGTTGAAGTAGAAACTTCAGCTGAACTTATATAGTATTCCACTAGTGGTGACCATTTTTTTATTGCGTTCTTCCATAGAGAGTGCTATTCTGGGATATATGTAAGACGTATGTATGTCCTACCCCCACACTGCGTGTATGTTGCTATTCTGGGATATATGTAAGACGTATGTATGTCCTACCCCCACACTGCGTGTATGTTGCTATTCTGGGATATATGTAAGACGTATGTATGTCCTACCCCCACACTGCGTGTATGTTGTGTTACAGAAAATTTAATAAAGTTTTTTTTTTGTTTAAGGACGTGGCGCTACCTAGGAATTTATTTAACGTTAACTTACGTCAAAGATAATAAATACTCAATAACAGCATTAATTGGGGTGGAGGAGGGTTGTGAACTCATATTAAAATGCCCCTTGTTCCAAACTTGTTCCTTGTTCCCACAAAGTTTGATTGAGATTGCACAAGTGCCTAGGAGTAGTTAGATAAGGGACAAATAGACAGACGCACAGATTTTTGTGCATTATATATAAAAATTGCGCTAACGGCAGTTATGTATGGACAGATGTATTAAAGTATATACACTAGTTAATAGTTGAAGTTTCACGCTCTAAATGTGTGTAACGAATAACAAAACATGTCATATTTACCTGCTGATTATTTTTTAATATAAAATTTTCATTCCATTATTTCGTAACAAAAGAAGTGATTGTGTTGATCGTTTATGATTACTATACACAGAAGGAAAGAAACGCTTCGCGACCATTGTATATCAACAACTACTAATCCATTGGTCAGCTAGTATTCCAAAGAATCACTATTTTACCATTCTATACTACAATTTGGTCGTTTATTCATGAATTATACTATATTCAGCTATTCTACACTACATTATGGTCACGCATCCATAGATTACACAACTATTCAGCCTCTTTACACCAGAATGTGGTCTTACTTCCATGGATTATATTAGTATTCAGCCATTTTACACTACAACGTGATCGTACTTCCATGTATTACGCTACTACGGTGCCATTTTATACCATAATGTGGTTGTAAATACATGGAATATAGTAATATTCAACCATTTTAATGGGAATGTGGTCGTGCATCAATGGATTGTACCACTTAGGTGTAATTTCACACCACAATGTGGTTTAAAATCCATGGACTATACCACTATAAGGCCAGCTGATACTACGAAGTTTCTTTACCCCTAATTCAGCGGTGGTATATCATTCATTTTACACCACAAGCTTTTTACGCTATTCAGTTTAATAGTACTACTATTTGATGACGTTACACCGCTAATTTATTGCTAAGTCCACTAACTCGCTAAACTGTTTCAACGCAGTTTGATTCTCCAGAATATCCGCTGTACATAAAAGAGCTTGTTTTGTGTGTCCAACTTTTTAAACCGATTTGTAAAGAGATGAACTACGATAATTCATTTTGTACATTTTAATGTGTTTTTTTTTGTTATTAAATATTCCACGATGTTTTCGATATTGGAGTAGATATGTTGAAAGTACGAAAGTCATACAGGTAGGGAAGATTTATTGTTTAAATGACGCGTCTGATTTAAAAACTATTAGGAAATACGCGTAAGTTACTTAGTTTTGTAATCTATGTATAGAATAATT